CTGAATTCGGGCTCTACAGCGGAATTCTCTATCATTTGCTTAGTAGGTATACCAAATTTTATAAAAAAATATTTAAAACTGAGAAAGAGAACCTTGAAGTCGTTTTAAGCCAGTTTCTAACCATGGATATCGCTCTTAAATATATCTAAAATATTATACGTAATGTATATTGTTATACGTTAGAAGGTCAGTGAAATTCTACAAACATCAAATAATAAAATTACATATTATAAAAAACTTGTGGTTTTTTTATATTGAATTACGTATAACTTATTATATTCAGCTTCCGTCGTAAGACATATTATTTGAACCGGCAACATTGCTATATACAGCTTGGTCAAAGGTCAACTGGAAGAAGAGAGATTTCAGTTCGAAAACGTTGTTTTACAATTTAAAACAGATACATTATAGCAGTATTGCCGTTAGGCTGTAAATTTCCCACTTAGACTGAAATTTTGGTTTTTCACTTTTCACCCTTATTTGCTTACACAATAACAATTTAGCGAAGTAATCATATTCTTCTTTTCTTTTTTAATATTTTATTCTATTTACCAGATCACTTAGTGATGGCAGTTAATAAAAAATAATGAATATATAAGTTCTTATTGTAGTTATTTGCCGTATGCCATCTGCTAATAAAGATATTTTTAATTGTCCCTTATAATATATATTATATTAGCATTTATTTAAATTTCTATTAACTAAACCGTTTTTCTGGAAGCGAGAATTTTCAATTCAGCACCACTGTAAATGGTAAATTATGAAATAAATAAAAAAGGGTAGGGGACAAAGACATTACAACATAGAGACAAAATGTTTCATTAATAAATCCCATACAATTGCGGACTGTTATTGTTTTAAAATTGTTGAGTGGAAGAGAGAAAGACAGATCTCTTGGGACCGGCTGGCAACGTTGTAAACAGTGTCCATAATATGCTCGCCAGTGGCGTAGAGTTTTAAACTTACCAGTATTGTCAGAGTAGTATGTTAAACAAATAAGTAGGTATATTTTTTTAGTAATATAATTATGATGATTAAGTAGGTAGGGGTATCTAAATAAAACACTGTCCTAAAATATATAATTTTTTAATTAATAATTACAAAAAAACATGGTATGGCAAAAAATATCGTAAAAAACTGTAAAAATGTTTAAAATAACGTTTTAAGTACCTTAATTTTATTAACTAAAATTTCATTTAATTTTTTTATGCTTAGTTATTAGTGTTATTACTTACTGCAATGTTTTTTTGCAGCAGGTGGTGTTCCAAAAACCATACATTAGATATACATACTATAGGTAATAACTAATGTTTAGAGGCAAACAAAAATTAATATTTTGTATTTTTACATGTTGGATAAGTCATCCAAAAATAGAAATCCCTCACACCGTCTGGGGTTTGCATCTTTTCTGATATATTTAGCACCATTTGCACGTACCAAAACATCTTTAGGAAAAAAGTGTTCTGAACACAACTCTGGATTTTTACGAAGGGGTTGAATTTCAAGGATCCCTACTAGAGAAAGTCAAAGTTTTATTTTCTAAGGATCTTGCGAAAACCTAAATAGAATATAAAAAAATATGTATAGGTGCCTAATAGGTAAATCATTTTTAAGGTATTCTACATTTTACGTTAAATTTTATTTGCCACTATTCAATAATTATTTATTGGTATAAGAATAATTTACTAATTTATAAAAGGAATACCACTTTAAAAACTGTGTTAAGACTGTTTTAGACTACAATTTCTTATACAATTTAAATTGTATATTATCAAACCTGCAGTACATTGACTAAAAAATTAGATTGGATAATCATTTTTCAAACAATTTACTATGTGATCCTATACAATTTAAATTCTATAAGAAATTGTATCAAATCTTGTACAAGAAATTGAAAACAACATATCTTAACCTAAAAATACTTACCGATGAAAGGATAAATTTTGATTTAAATGATCTACCTTATTGAACACTATACATGCATGTACCATAATTCTTTATATTTCTCACAAAAATAGTATGTTTCAAGGAAACTACAATGTAATTATATCTACGAACAAGCTCGGAAAATTACAATTAATCTTCCTTAAGGTAAGTCGATTAATTTTTTAATTTTATTCCTATTAGTGTGTGTATGTCAACGCTTGCTCGCTACAGGATGCTAAATATAAGTTCAGAACGCAGTAAGGTTTGGCTTTATTTTGATAATTGTACACAGAAGTAATGCCCGGAATTTGTGGAATTATTTAAGAATCAAGCATCATATCAAAATAAACAGGTATAAATTATACGTTTATCGAATAATCAAATATTCCAATATTCGAATACTCCTATACTCGGAATATTGTAGCACGCCACTAGCGGTACTTGTTATAGTCTATTTTTATGTATGAGAGAGTATTAAAATAATAAAGCGTTCGTAATCCGTAGGCGTATCACTTCTTTTAGTAGACAGTTAAAATATTTTTTGAAGTTATTCCTCGAGTATACACATATATTTTCACCTTTTCAACTTCTAAACAGCTGAAGGTAAAAAAGTGCAATGTTTTCTAAAATGTTTTATTTTTCCACAAGGTATCTTAAGAACATTGTGTCAAACGGGTTATGTAGGTATAAGGGTATAAACTTTGACTTTTAAACAACGTTACATTCATAAATAATAATTTTAATATAAAAACTACTTCTTACCTACAAATCCAAATCAGAATCGAAATCAGAAGATGAACTGTCGCAACCAATATTTACAATGATTGGCTCGATCATTTCATCAGTAATATTGTCCAACTTCCACATTTTCTCTTCTTTTTTAATCGTATGATTTACTGCCTTTTCCCAGTTTTCAGGCTTCACATTATTTACAGCCTCCTAAAACAACTGTTTACCATCACTCATTTTAAAAGAATTATTTTTTCTTGAAACTTCTCCCTTTATCTGTGCCCATATCAGTTCAATCGGATTTACTTCGCAATGATATGGTGGTGATCTAACCACCGTCATCCCACGATTTTTTGCAATTTCATCAATTTCATATTTTTTGAATTTCTCTTTATGAAGGGAACACAAATGATACAGTTCTTTTCTCACAGAACCGGGATGGAACTTAATATTCTTTGAATTTAGCCAATTCTGTAAATCTTTTTTTAACCACTTGGTTGTGGGCATTTTTTATATAAGTCGCGAGTGATAACTTGCATTATCCATTACTATTATACAGTTCTGAGGAAGAAGATCTATAATTTGTTCGAACCACTCTTTAAAGACATAAGCATTCATGTCCTCATGGTAGTCACCGGTACGAGTAGATTCAAAAGTGAATAAACCACCTTTAACAAAACCGTTTGAACTACCGATGTGTACTATTATTAGTCTGTGCCCCTTTCCTGATGGTGGATTTAAACCAGTAGATAAATTATTTAAAAAAGCCTGTCTTCGACTTGTAACAGTTTCATCTTGCCAAAATTTATTTGGTTTATGTCCCTCGATGATCCGTGTTTCATCTAAATAAAATATATTTCTTCTTTGGTTTCTCATTTCTTTTATAGTCCTTAGGTAATTTCTTCTCCATACTACAATATCGCTTCTTTCTATTAAAATAGACTTTCTGGAATGCTTTTTCCATAGAAAACTCATTTCAGGGTAATCCTTATCATCTCGAACCGTGGCAAGAACTTTGTCTACTGTCGGAAATTCTTTTCTAAAGAAGAACGCATGCATTTTCCTTTGAAGTCTTTCTTTCAAAAGATATTCTAATTGAAATTTTGGTTTTCCTGGAGCTTTACGTGCTGTTTGAAACTCGCCACATTTCTCTTCTTTAACAACTCTGTAAATCGTAGATTTCCCAACACCAAGCGTACTACTAACTAATTCTACTGGTCATTAACACTTTTACATAAATGTTTGTCTGTAAATGATTTAAAACAATTAAATATTAATGTTTTTTCATTAACTGTTAAAGGGCCATTTTTTGTCGTTTACGCGGCCCTTCCAAATTTTCCATGATCACACTAGAATTCACACTGCACCTTGCAAGTTGCAACTAAACGACATTTAGTAAACTGTCAAGAATACACAACTTGGACCTCCTTACTAAATGGAAAACCTATAATCGAATTTTCGGTGAAATTTGTTGGGAAGGTATTTATCTACTTATAATTCGATTACTGTAAGAAATTCTTGGAATTAAAATAAAACAAAATTGACAAATAGGTACTTATTGAAAATAATCTTAAGATACGGCTATGTAATCTTTAATACACAGGGCTTTTGGCCTCTCCAAACCTTTTTCTATTGTTTTGTACAGCTTATGTTTATAAAGGACCAATAAAAGATCCAAAACTTGTAATAGCTCAGGTACATTTATTACAATTTTAGGAAATATTTAGACTATTCTGTAAAAATATTTAAAACGACCGTACTAAGTTTTGCATTAGAAATGCTGTTTTATTACTCTCTCATACATAAAAATAGACTATAGTAAAGACATTATGCCCCAGCTTGACATGTGCATCCATTTTTGGGACAATGCAAGAGGAAGAGGCGAGACTGTTAAGAGAAATGGCATCTTAATAAGTTGTGTTTTAGCTTTTCCTCAACTTTATGTAAAGAATATGTGTAATAAAAGTTTTATAGTTTTAATAAAAAATGTTACAGTGCACTAAATCGAAATTAAATATAAAAGCCGTTTTTTAATAAACACGCATTATGTAGTTGTTCCTGTTATATTTAATATTGCATATGATATAGATTGCTCTAGTTCATAAACGTCATAATTTTTTTTTAAATATCCAAAAATCAAAAAGTCGGGAGAACTGAGGTGTGTAGATCAGGGAAACCACAATCCTTAACTACTCACTCTATCCTCAAAATATTTTTTCACAGTAGGTGAATCCACCCAATAAAGGTACTATTCATGTAATTTCTCTTTTACCAGATCACATTGGATACAAATATCGTTAAAAATTTTGTGTGTAAATTTGGATTCAATGTAAATGATGCAAAAATAATATGTAATTTATATTTTTGAAATACATGTAAATTATTTAAAATCAAAAAGAAAAAATTAAATCCTACTTAAACTGATCAAAGAATGTATACTGTATAAATCATGTTATAATTATAAAACATACTTAGATGTGACTAAAATCACTCAAATATTTCTTAATCTCAAATCCAACCGATTTAGAAACAAACTGTATAAACTCGAAATTAACATTACACTTATATTTCTGTCCATCCAAAAAACAACTATCACTAACCAACGAGAGTAGCCTTAACTCAATCAAACTCGATATCTGGACCAGCACATTATTATTAAAACCCATTTTATTGTCTTTGTCATCCAAAATGGAGTAAAAAATGGCCAGCAATCTGTCAAAAACAAAAGGTTTAGGCCCGAGTTGAGTATTTAATTGTTCGCTGACTTTGCTTTTCAATTTAATGTCTTTTAATTTCTTTTTTTGTTTCCCGTGGTGCTTCATAAACAGTCTTTTGTCGTCTTTTGCAGGATTGTAACTAGCTAAATAAGCAGCTATCAGAATATATTTAGCGTAAAATGGTAGCTCTAAAGTAGGGTTAGGTTTTTCTTTGATATTTGCTGATTTTGTTGTATCCAGTCTGAGGTATAATACTTCTAAGGATGATTTTAGTATTGGTGAGATATGTCTCCATAAAGCCATTGAGTCCTCAATAGTGTGTTCATTGTTAATTACAGGTTCACAGTACTTAATAAAGTTTATTCTTGACATATATCTAAGTTCGGAAAGATCTCTACAAGATCTGTAAAATACAGATAAAAATAAATTTAAATAATTTTTGTAAAAATCTAAATCGAACTCTATAAACTTGTTAAAATGTTCCAGAATCATATTTCTACAATAATCGATGTCTAGGGAAAGTATTTCTAGCAATTCAATTTTGTTATATTGAGGAAAATGTATCTTAATAGGTTCAATTCCACCTCCTTTGGTGTAAAATTTCTCGAACACAAGTTCTGAAATAAGAACAACGCATATAGAAATTCCAGTTAGTTCTCTTAACCTCAGAAAACAAGGTAATAAATTGAATTCCATATTTCTGAGTTCTTCTGCGCTATCCAAAACCAAAACAAACCCGTCCAGTTTCTTTACCTCGTTAAGTTTTTCGATATTGTATAAAAAGTCCATCATGTTGTCACATCGAGCGTATGGAGTCGGGTTTAGAGGATTCAATTTGTGTCCGGAAATCTTATTTAAAATGCTTTCAAATAAAATTCTCGATGAATAACATTCAATAAGGTTTATTACGGCATGATTGACTTCAAGAATTTCTAGTACACGCTGTACTACGACTGTTTTTCCTGAGCTAGGACCACCGTAAATGTACACACTTTCAATTTGAGGTTCATTTTTGTGAGCAAAAAGATTATATAAATGTTCAATTTGAGTTCTTCTGTGAGGCATCGATTTTATCAGATTAGAATCCATTGTAAATAGCAATTCCGGGATCTGTAACAAAAGAATTTCATTAATTTTCATTTTTCAGCCGAACTGTAATGGAAATATAGGAACAGGTAAGTAGTGGTCGTAGTAAATATGTAAATCTAGGAAAGTATTGATACATTTTAAGTCACAAAAATCGAATTTTACAGAAAACAGATCTGAATATTTAGCATAATTTACAAATAATCCGCATTAGGTCAAACACAGCGTTATACACAAAATAATTATTTATTTAAAAATTTCCTTGTCCCGCCAATACCAATCCGAATTTCTTGATTTACGAAAAAGTGGTCGTCCTGTGGTGATTTCCTAAGCGAAGGCACAGGTAGTTTATGGATGCGTGTTTTAGAATTGTGTGTTGGGATAGTTAAAAAAAGTTTGTTGGGGTATTAAGGAGCGATTATGAATATAGTGCAAACACAGGCTCTTACTATTCACATTTTCAATTAGATGCTTCAGTAAGTTATGAGACCTACACCAACTGTTATACATTACTACAAAATTATTTTGGGTACCTTAAAATATGTGTTGTTGGAAATACATCCAACATATTTAATTGATACATCAGGCTAGCCCAGCCATAGGTGCCAAACTAATCAATAAATTCGGGAGACGCTAAAATGGTGGTTCCCATCTTATCGAGACTGAGGCCCACAAGGGTGAACTCGTAGCGTAACAAAAACGGGAAATGATTTAACTTGGAACAAAAGACCGAAAGCCGATAGTGGTATTAGGACGTTGAATTTTTTGGTTTGTGAAGCATTGGCATTACTTATGTTAAACCATGTGATGATTTTCAGAAGCCTTGATTTTTAAAACCATTCTATATCGCCTTTTGATTAGGGTTTAAAAACTTGTTCGAGCAATTTATGCAATAATAATTGGCCCCTTTTCCTCTTAAGCCTGCTCATGTAAAATATTTGGACTCCTTACTTCGCCTATTTAAATTATAATAATAAAGGACAAAAGGATGAGTATTGCAACTATGTTAAAAGAAATAAATTGGCTTTCAGTTCAGAATTATATTCAGTACATGACCGATATTTATTTATAAAATAAAAATTACGTAGTACCATCGAATCAGATCTATTAGAAAAAATTCAATATAATTCTCAATATCACAACTATAATACAAAAAGCCAATCTGACTTTTATGTACGGCAAGCCATCACTAAAAGTTCTCAAAATACAATTTTTATTATAGGTTTAAAAAAATGAATAGACTGCCTACAAAAATTAAAAAAACAACAATAAATGTATTCTAAAGTAACCTCTAACAAACTTGATAAATAAACAGAACGGTATACTTTCTTGTGATAATACTCTTTAAAACCAGCCCTTTTTAAGTATTTACCTTAATTTAATGTTATTTTACCCCTCGTTTTACCCGCATTTATTATAAATTATTTCTGTTTTGAGATCATGTACTTTATTTTAAACAATTACTTGATGTTATATTAATACTACTTACTATGTTTAAATTATTAATAGTTTTGCGACGATAGGTAATAGCAACTTATAGCCACAAAACTATTTTTGTGTTAAAGTAGATCCATAGAGAGAAATATAACTTACAAAGGCCTTCTTTCAACATACAAATAAATGACAACTTTATAATTAAATTGAAAAACACAACAAAATACCTCGGTATCATAATTGATCAAAATTTGAAATGGGTTGATCACATTACGTCATTAAAATCCCAAGGTAAGAAAATTCATTTTTAAATTTTATGAATTGAGGAAATTTATGACTAGGAGTTTACTAATTATTATTTACAATTCGCTGGTTGAATATATATTACAAAATCGTATAATTAAAATTATCTACAAAAAAACAGCATTATATCCTACCTTTCTTTTATATAATAAAAAAGTGCTTTGTATAGGAACATTATCTGTCTTGCTGTACCTTTATTTATAGAAAGCCTGAATTGAGATACACTACAAATTATTTGCAATAAATATCAAAAGAAGCATACATTTATACATTTTTAAATAATTTGACTGTTAACAGCCAAATAAATTTGATGAAGGTGTTTTTGTGGCGGGGCGAAATAGTAGTATGCTTAAGTTAGCACCACCATAAAAAATACATTTTTAAGGAACTGCTTATATATTTTTCATAAATTGGCAGGCTTGGCGACTAATTTCGAATAAAAATAGCCTCCAAAATGGCTATGGTTGCAAGTATGAAGGTCGCAACCCGCCTTAGGAATTACTATCAACAGTTGTTGTTTGACAGGTCGTTAGAGAATGTTGCAATTTATGGAATGTTAAGAATGTTAGGAATGTTGACATTAGAAATAATTGGAATTCCTAAAATTGTCACATAAGAAATGCATAGACGGATTTTAAGAAAAATGATATTAAAGTATTTAGGATGAACTGAAAATTCTGAAAATCAATAGGGTTCTAAGTTAGAAGTAATTATTCAAGAAAATCAAAATCGCAAGTCAATCAGAACTTTCGTTCTAGAGTTATCGTGCCGGCATACACACACATAGACGACCAGACGAATGTTTTTTTACATTTTCGGACTCAGAATGATCGGAAACATGAAAAAAAGTAATAAAAAATGGGGTAAGAAAATTTTTTCGTCTTCACGAATGCAATACTGAGGCCCTATAGGAAGGGCCTCAGTAATTGATAATTAAATAATGAACTCCAATATTTCAGTAATTTAATCTAATAGGAATCTAATGAAAAATTCAAATAAAACAATAAACCCTAAATCGATTAAAAGTTCCGAGAACAGTAAAATAGCAAAGTATTCACGTCAGCCCAGCGCTCTATCTCGCACATAAAAGAGACAAAAGAATAACACGATTAGAAATGCTAACGCAGTCCAAGCTTTGCCACTTTAAACGTTACGTCACAGAAGCTACAAAAAAGCTTTATAGGCCGCGGGTAGAGGTACATATAAATAGAATAAGAATGGCATCAGATAATTTAATGGCGTTTTCCTCTGGAATTATCAGTGCATTCTGAGTGTATTCTTACTATTTTCTTTTCTATATCGATAAAGAAGGACACAAATATACTGTGGGTACTGCCAGTGCCAGTGAAAATATTATTTAATGGAAATACAGTCCACCAGAATGGCTGGCAGAGCCGTATTTTAAAGAATGTTTATAAACGACGTTTGATCTCTAAAGCCCTTTATTAAACATGTGTCATAAGTCAAATATTATTAAAATGAACATCTTCTAGCACTTGAAGATATACGTAACAATATTCCCTGATTCGATGTAAGCAGTTTCTTGGAATTTTCTTCGGTTTTTTTTTTTTGTTTAATTTGGTTAACAAAATTTTAAATTAACAAAAACTTGCGAACAAACCCCAAAGGAACAACAACAGAACCGTCCAAAACAACTATTTTCGTCCATGAGTATCCCACGAAACCAGACAAATCTACCACAGCTAGATCAGGAAGAGCTTCATTCCTAGGAAGACGGACAGGGCAACCTATGCACACCTTCTCCAAGAGGCTCTGAGAGAGATGGCGGCCGAAACACGAAACAATAATACTGCTTTGGAAAAGAACACGACACTATCCAAAGCAAAATAAATAATGTCTATAAGAAATCCTATCCTCTGAGGCTGGTCCAACACATCAGACGACTACCGCATGGTGGTGTCACGAGTTGGATCACCTCATGAAGATGGCTAGGAAATCTTTTAATAAGGCAAAAACCACAAAACTCAAAGAGAACTCGGATACTTACAAATCTCACATCAGAGAATACAAAAAAATTGTCAGACAAAAACAGAGAGATGCATGTAGATCCTACTACTAAGAAATCGAAGATTTCCCGCAGGCAGCGAGGCTTCAAAAAGCTCTCTCAAAAGATCCACACCGAAGCATTGGTGCGTTAATCAAAGAGGATGGCACGAAAACTGCCAAACTCGAAGATAGCATCAAACTTCTGCTGTCAACACACTTCCCTGACTCGGTGATCACAGACGTGGCGGACTGGGCAGAGGAAGAATACAATCCATCTGTCTATGATTGGCAAACTACTAAACACATTGTAGGCGATTAAAAAATTAGATGGGCAATATCCAGCTTCTCTCCATTTAAATCGCCAGGACCTGACGGTATCTATCCATCCCTACTTCAGTGGGGTCTGGAAGAACTCACACCGCACCTGGTGGGTACATTCAGATCCTCGTTGGCTCTGAGGTATATCCCCAAAAAATGGAGATAGGTAAAAGTAGTATTTATACCCAAACCTGGAAGGATGGATTACACTGTCCCAAAAACATACTGACCAATTAGTCTGACATCGTTTTCCATGAAGACATTGGAAAGGCTATGCGAAAGGTACATAAGGTATGCGGTGATTATAACAACACCACTACACCCAAACCAACATGCATACACCCCAGGCAGATCTACTGATTCAGCCCTTCATCTAGTTACTGGCCGGATAGAAAGATCCCTGGACAATAACTAGTCCGCCTTGGGTTTTTTCATAAACATAGATGGTGCTTTTGATAAAACCACCTTCCCAAAGATAATGCACTCACTAACCAACAGGAATGTTCCACAAATGGTTAGTGGGTGTATACATAAAATGCTCTCAAAGCGAGCAGAAAATATAAGTGTAGAAGATATGAATATAAGAGGTTTGGTTGCGAGGGGATGTCCACAGGGAGGGGTGCTATCACCTCTACTGTGGAATATGGTCCTTGACACCGTCATCAACCGCCTTAATAATGACAGTCACTTCACAATAGCATATGCAGATGACCTGGTCATTCTGCAAACAGGGAATTGTGAGAACATACTCTGTGAAAGAATGCAAATAGATATAACAATTATCGAATAGTGCTACAAGGATCATTAATTGTCTATCAATTTTAAGAAGGCAAAAATGGTCCTTTTCACAAGGAAAAGGATGAAAATGGAATTAAAACCTCCAGAACTCCTAAACACAAAACTAAACTTTGCAACAGAGGTGAAGTACCTAGGTCTCACCTTTGACAGCATGGAGTTACACG